TAAATAAATAAATAAATAAATAAATAAATAAATATTGAAGTATCAACTCTGAAAAATGCTGAAAATGTTCTACGTCCTGAAGTATCAAATATTCAGCCAAGATTTGATACTTTAGGTAAAATTAAACAGGCACATCCATCTCATTAGTGTGCTTTGAGATTTGCTTTCACTTTAAATAAATGATAAAATTATATGTATGTGCTGGGTGTGGTGGCACACGCCTTTAATCCCAGCACTCATGAGGCAGAGGCAGGTGGATCTTTGAGTTCAAGGCCAATCTGGTCTACATAGTGAGTTCCAGGACAGCTGGGGCTACAGGGAGACCCTGTCTCAAAAAGACAAAAAAAAAAAAAAAAATTATATGTATGCTAAAGAATTGTTTTAAAATAAAATTATGATTCCTTCTCAGTAAATGTATGATTTGTATACTTATTTTACATGCCTAGATTGCATAAAAAATTCTGTGATGGGAGGGATTGCAAATGGAAAAGGTTTAAGAAACTCTGACTTGGAGAACCACTGCCTTGCCAGGTGTGCTGGCTCAAGTAATGCTGGGCTGATTTTGTGACGCACTCCAGACATATTAAACCAGCAGGGGGAGACAAGTCTGTAGGTATCCCCTAAAAATACACTACTTTTATACCTGGAGTTAGTGTTGCCATGGAGACTTTTGAACTATTTTAGAGAAAAGCATGTAAACTCATATCAGGTGAAATACATTTCAGATGTTCATGTGAAATTGAATTTCAGAAAGAACCAGGTCTCGATTCTTGCACGCCACAGTGTCACAAGAACAAGGATGGTGGAATTAGTCCTGCCACCTAAAAAGCAGTGTGGCTTTGGGAAAGCTATTTATCTTCTCTTATCCTGTTTCCTTGAATTTGTAATAAGCCCTACTTTATGGAATTTTTGAAGAGTTAAGGTTCTTAGAGCACTAATTGGTACTTACCAAAACATTTATTGTCAGGTGTGATGGTACATACTTTTAATTCCAACACCCATTCAGGAGATAGAGGCAGGTGGAGCTCTGTGAGTTCCAGGTTAGCCTACATAGCCTACTCTACATTGTGAGTTCCAAAGCTACGTAGTAAGATCCTGTCTCAAAAAAAAAATGCTGAGATGGCTCAGCAATTAAGAGCAGCACTTGCTGCTCTTGCAGAGGACTCAGGTTGGGTTCCCAGCACTCACATGGCAGCTAACAACTGTAAGTCCAATTCTAGGGGATCCAATGCCCTCTTCTGCCATCTGCATGTATTATATGACAAGGGTGCACTTACATATATGCAGGCAAAACACTTATAACTTAAAAATAAATCCAATAAGTAAAGTTTAATAAAATCTTTATAGTATTTCATTAAATTATTATTATTAATTATTGAGACAAGATCTCACTATGTAGCCCTGGCTGGCCTGGAACTTGCTATGTAGGCCTGGCTGGCTTTGAACACAAGGATCTACCTGCTTCTGTCTCCCGAGTGCTGGGATTAAAAGCATGCATCACCATGCCCAGCTAGTTTTATTGTTTATAAGTGTGTGTGTGTGTGTGTGTGTGTGTGTGTGTGTGTGTGTGTACATGAGTGCCTGTGGAGGCCAGAAGTGACTGACCACCCAGGAGCTGGAGTTACGAGTATGCTCTCTTAACCATGCAGCCATCTCTCCAGCCCCTCAGAACATTACTGATTGTGAAAACCATAAGTAGTTATGCGGTATATTCAGGTTTTTGACCTCCTTCAAATTAGAATGGTTCAAAAGATTTGATAGATTAAGAATATAATAAACAGTGCCCTCATTTTTCAGATAAAGAATTGAAAATGCCTAGAAGGCAATTGCTTGGTAAATTCTAACTTCCCCATCTGGAATACCCAAAGTAGAAGTTTGAGCAAGAGCTGACTGACAGTGGGACACCAGGAGAGTGCGCAAGATGGAGATAGAGATGGAGGGCACCGGAGAGTCATTAAGAAGCCAGGACCAGAAGTCTAAGTCACATCTGACCTTGGAGCCTTGATTGGTAATGGTGGGTTAAATGTTTCTGGGATTTTAAGCTTGGGGATAACCAGATGGGTGCTGGCTTGGTCTGGGGTGGCCAATGACGTGGAGTCTGGCCAGACCAAGGCCCTGCCGCGGGTACGTGTGTGAAGAAACCAAAGAGACCATGTGCCAGGTTTGCGTGTTCCACTGAGTTTTCCAACTTGGCGAGGGCCGTCCGCTTCCTGGGAAAGGCTACACCTGTGTGACCCTGGGCTTTTAGTGACCTGACCCAGTGTCTTCTGCATCGTGGGCGTGTCCCTAGCGGGGAGGCCACGCCTGGTTGGATGATGTCACCACCAGGTTCTGTGGGGAGGTGTGTCGGGGGCTGGCTGGGGGCTCGCTGAGGGGGCTGGGGCGGGGCCAGGGTCTGTGACGTCACGGGGCGGGGCGGCGGGCGGAGGTGCTCACTCGAGGCCGAGTCAGGGAGTCAGTCGCCAGCAGCCACTTCTCCCCATGGTGATCCCCGTGCTGCCAATCATGTCCCTGCGGAGCAGCCTCTCGCGTATCCTCCGGGCGCGAGTGCATTGCGTCCTGAAGAAATCCGTGCACTCTGTGGCGGTGGTTGGAGCCCCTTTCTCTCAGGGACAGGTGAGCTCTGGGACCTGGCCGGGAGGGGAAGGGAACCCCGAGAGACCGGGGCGTGGGGGAGCTAGGGGAGGATGAGAAGAAACGAGCGCTGCGGGGGAGCTAGGGGAGGATGAGAAGAAACAAGAGCTGGAGGGTCCCCGGGGTGGGCACTGGGGGAGCACGTGGGATACTCCCCAACAGGGATGGAAATGCAGATGAGGGACGGGTGGAGGGCACCTTGTGAGGGTGGGTGAGGACAGTGGGCAGCGAGAGGGCGGACTTCTGCGGCGTCCCCAGGAAGAGGGGGACATCGGTAGCTCCAGCTTGTAGCGATGGAAGGGAAGAAAAGGGAGAGGATCCCGAGGAGAGGCTGGAGAAGGCGAAACCGGCCAAAATCCTCGGAAGACTGACCGAGAAGAGGTTAAAGACAGCCACTGGAGATTAAAGCTTCAGGATCCATTCTCCACAAAGAGCATTAACCTGGAAAGAAACAGATGCTGGCCACTCCAGCGGCGCGGGAGGGTCGGAGGGGCTTTGTTCTGCCTTCGGTGAAAGCAGCCTGCAGTCAGTGAGGGCTCGCTCACTGAAGGGCTCGCTCACTGAAGGGGAAGCCGGGTCCCTGACCCAACCAGCTGGGTCTCAGGTTCAGCCACCAGATCCTAGCCTCGCTCAGTCCTTTTTCTGTCTGGGATGCAGCTGGTCTGGCTCACTACCAGAGGCTCGGAAGGTAGATTTGCCTTCAATAAAGGAACTGTTTCCTCCTCCTTGCGTGCAAGGATTTGAGGAGATGACTTGACCTCCACGGTGGAAGTTTTGATGCTGCGGCAGGCTTTCAAGAGGAATCTGTTAGGAACTAAGTGTAACATTATAGATTTTTGTGCAAGTGTTTCTGCTCCTATCCCCATCTTCCCTCACATCTGGAATTTGTATGATTCACAGAAAAAGAAAGGAGTGGAATATGGTCCAGCTGCCATTAGAGAAGCTGGCTTGCTGAAGAGGCTCTCCATTTTGGGTAAGTGATTGGATTTCAAATGTTTGTGTGGGACTGGTTACAGACCAGCATCTTATCTCATATTCAGGGTCTATGGGATCAGCCATGTACTTGGAAGAGATCTGTATCCACAGGTACAGATCTATCAGCGAGTCTTTAGGGGAAGGCTTTGTGCAATAGAGGCAGGAGAAAGTGCAAAGCAGGGCCTGGAACAACCTACCAGTGGAGCCAAGGATGCTAGGACTGCAGTTAACCTTTCCCCTTAACATTCTAGCTTTCCTAACTCAGTCTTCTGAGTCATCCATCTCACCAGTGCCCTCTCATCAGATCATTTCCTCTCCAGGGTTAATGGGTTTGATATTACTGTAAGCCGGCCATAGATGTGTTTTTTTCTTTCTTTCTTTTTTTTAAATTTTTTATCTTTTTGAGACAGGTTCTTCCTGTAGCCCCAGCTGGCCTGGAACTCACTATGTAGACAAGGCTGGCCTTGAACTCACAGAAATCCGCCTGCCTCTGCCTCCCAAGTGCTGGGATTAAAGGCGTGCAGCACCACGCCTGGCTAGATGTGGTTTTTAAAAACACCGGGGCTGGCAAGATGGCTCAGTGGTTAAGGGCACTGACTGCTCTTGCAGAGGACCCATAGAGGATCCAGGTTTGATTCCCAGCACACATATGGTGGCTAACAATGGTCTGTAACTCCAGGTCCAGGGGATCTGAAGTCCTCTTCTGACCTCCTTGGGCATTGCACAACATGGGTGTACTTATATACATGCAGGCAATGCACTAATACACATGGAAAAAAATTAATTAAAAAAATTTTTTTTAAACTACCAATTATGAAATCACTTGAGTGACTTGTTAGAAGTACAAGTTCTTAAGCTCCTCCACAGAAGAGTTCTGACTCATTGGGTCTGAGGCAGCACCCAGATATATGCATTTTTACTTTTTTTTTGGGGGGGGTCTTTTTGAGACAGGGTCTCCCTGTAGCCCCAGCTGGCCTGGAACTCACAGAGATCAACCTGCCTCTGCCTCCCAAATGCTGGGATCAAAGGCGTGTGCCATCACAGCTGGCCAGATAATATACATTTTTACAGGCACTCCAGATTTGCAAGTCTTTTTTTTTTTTTTTTTTTTTTTTTTTCTGTAGCCCCAACTGGCCTGGAACTCCCTTTGTAGACCAGCCTGGCCTTGAACTCACAGAGATCCGCCTGCCTCAGCCTCCTCAGTACTGGGACTAAAGGCTTGCACCACCATGCCTGGCCCCTAGGTTGCAAGTGTCAAAATCAAGATATTTAGGTTTTTAGGTTTTTAGAGCCAGAAGTAAATCTGACACAAAGATAAATGCCATTTCTGCTGAAGTGGAGACCTTCAGTAACAGGGCACTAAATTTCAGCACCTTCAAATCTGTCTAGCTGTCATGTCCTCCATTCTTATTAGGGTCATTGACATTATCTTTTTTAGTGCTGTGAATACAAAATTTACAGGCAACAGAGCACTTTGGCAATAGGTACACAGAATCTGGGTAAACAACAGATTCCTTGTCTGCTCTTGCTCTGAAACAATTGCTGATTATGAGGTTATTCCAAGGTATAGTCATCTTCCAAAGTCAGAAACAATGATCTCACAAATCACCTAAAGTTGATGGATTCCTTTTATGTGGACATGGTGACTTGAATACCCTGAATTCTTTCCCCTGTTCAATGACTGTAGCTTCTTCCTTAATAGTCTCTTTCTTAGTAGCTTTCCAAGTTTATTGTGAATGGTAAAAGGTTAATTGCTAAGATTTAGTTATTTTTGCACTACTGGGTATTGAACTCAAGCCTCAAGCATATGAGGAAAATACTCTGCTAGTGAGCTATGTTCCAGCCTCATGACACACCTATTGTTTTTATTCCTGTTTATTAGTGAAAATACTATCCCTTAAAATAGCTTTTACACAGCCTGCCTTTTTGGAAAGACTCATTTTACACTGATGGCAACAATCTTTAGGAATTGCTATTTTTATTACTAGATAAGTCTCTGTAGCCTAATATTGCTCAGATTACTATATTGTCTGAAGAGACTATTAACAAGAAGCAGTTTCAGCATCTTATAGGGACGATTATAGAGAAAGAATCTAATCAACAGAACAGAAGAGGAGAAGACATTAATGTCTTGGAATTGACTTGAATAACTAGATAATGTGCGATAGTGTGAAACAGAAAATAGAGATAGCAGGAATAGCAAATTTGAAGGAGAAGATAAGATGAACTTGGTTTTGAACATGATGGTTGTTGAAATACTACAAAAGCATGATTAGGTTACTAGAACAAAGGTAGAGAAGGGAGCATGGGGAAGCAAGAATGGCCTTCTAGAGGAAGAGCAGAGTTGCAAGAACATGGAGTAAAGGAGAATGGTCAGCTGGGGCAGCCATAATGAGAAAATGCCAGAGTGTATCGTTTGAGGGCTGAGAATAAGAGGATCTCCCTACAAGGGATCTGAGAAGGACCAATTAAGGGAGAAAGGAGGCCAGGAGATAGTGAGGGTTGGCTAAAAGAGGAGAGTGTTTCTAGAACAAAGCAAGCAGCTGTATGGTAAGTCCAGCAAAATAAAGGCTTAGGAGGCTGGAGAGATGGCTCAGTGGTTAAGAGAATTCACTGCTCTTGCAGAGGACCTGGATTCATGTTCCCAGCACCCACATGGTGCCTAACAACCATCTATAACTCTAGTTCCAGGGGATCTGAATCCTTCTGGCCTCTGTAGGCATTGTGCACAGGGGTGTACTTACATGCAGGCAGAACACACACACACTAAAAAAATAAAAATAAAAGGCTTAACAAATCTGAGCGTGCTCAAGAAAGTTTCAGTGGACTGGCATACGGAGAGTAAGGCTGAAGCATCGCTATCATACAGCTCAATTTGTGTCCCTAAAATTCTCTTAACCATTGAAAGCAAATATAGATGCTGAATTCATATATCTCTTTTTTCAAATGAACAGCTTGCATACTTAAAATCTTCATGTTTAAACAACTGCCTCCATCCCTCTATCAGCAGTTCTTAAATTAGCAAAACAGATTATTGGGTCTCAACCAAATCGATTGCTGTTCAGCTCTCTGAAGGAGTGCCAAGTGGACTAGGAAGAAATGTCTTGGGCAGAAGCTGAAGTAGAGGCAATGGAGGGGCACCTGCTATTACGGCGGAGCATGCTACTCTAACCTGTGCTCAGTCTGCTTCTAAAACCTAGGGTACCTGTCTAGAAGTGGCAGTACCCACAGTGGGCTGGGCCCTCCCTGCTCATTCAACAATCAAGAAAATGCTTCAGAGACATGCCCACAGGCCAGCCTGATAGAGGAAATTTCCAGGGTGTGTCAAGTTGATAACTGAAGCTACCAGCACAGTGACAGACCCTACTTCAGAAAATAAAGTGGAAAGAAATTGAAGGAGACACCCAACATCAACCTCTGGCCTCCACACAGACTTGCACACAAATGAATATATGCCCACATATGTGAACATATATATATACATGTATGCACATCATACACACTGAAATAAACACAATAACGTGTATTTCTTTTGCTAAAGGCTGAGAATGATGAATTTAAAATAAATCTGATATTATTAAAAGTTAACAGATAATCCAACAAAATGGAATAATTTAAATGCTATATGTTCTTTGTAAATTTCTTTTTATTATGCTAAGCAAGGAATTTTTTTCTTTTAGCTCATCAAATTCCAAAGTGGGTAAGACATAATTAAAAATTCAAGCAACATTATAGATTATAACTAAAAAAACAATAAAGAAATGTCTTAGGAAAAATGTTAGCCTAGTTGAGAAGAACCAGAAAATTCCCAAGTGGCTTCTGGAATTGCAGGATCTGTGTTCTGGTAACACTGTCAAGGTCCTTTATATAGTTTCTGAGGCTTGGGGCCTCTTTAGTATCTTAGCTGAGTCACATCACCATAACTACAAAGTGAGACCTCAAAGTGTTAACTTGGGCTTACAGCTATCTCTACGCACAGAAAATTCATTGTACTTATAATGACAAAAAGAACAAGTTCTGTGACTGTCAGAGCTAAGTAGAATCTGGAGCAGATGGACTGCTCCTGAGCCTTGCCAGAGCATGCCTCTTCCTCTCTTAGGCTGTCTCAGTTCACACATTCCACCTTGTTTTCATTGCAACCAAGATTGTGGCTGCTTGACCCAGGTTCCACCAACAAAAGCATGCATACCAAATTTTGATTTGAAATTCCAGAAGGGGCAGCAAAAACACCTTCACTGGATCCTTCTGCATTGTGACTTTGGACATGGGTGTGTCTCATTCTTTCTGGCAAGCAAGGAGGCATTTAAACTAGACTTTTTTTTTTTTTTTTTTTTAAATACAGTGTCTCACTACATAATCCTGGCAGGCCAGGAACTCAATATGTAGACCAGTGTGGCCTCAAACTTGAAGCAATCTTCCTGCCTCTGCCTTCTTAGTATGAGGATTGCAGGTCTGTATTACCATGCCTAGCTTTAGGCTTAGATTCTTTTTCCTTTGAGACAAGGTCTTACTATATATTCCTGACTGGCCCCGAATGCACAGAGGTCTGCCTGCCTGTTTCCCATGTGCTGGAATTAAAGGCATGTGCCACACTGCCTGGCCTAGATGTTGATTCTTTTTTTTTTTTTTTTTTTTTTTTTTTTTTTTTGGTCTTTTTGAGACAGCGTCTCCCTGGAACCCCAGCTGTGAGTTCAAGGCCAGCCTGGACTACATAGTGAGTTCCAGGACAGCTAGGGCTCCAGGGAGACCCTGTCTCCAAAAAAAAAGATTCTCTTGAATGATTCTGGGAATGGTTCATATTCAATTAGTTGTTTTTCTGCTTAGTCAGGTTTCTGTTACTTGTAGCTTAAAAAATCCTAACTAACAAACTAGTTTGTAAGTAGCAGTGAGAAACAAGTTGCTATGAAGACCTTGAGTATAAATTCTTATCCTTTTGCTTCTTTCCCCACCAGAATTTTACATAATACAACTCATTAGTTTAGTTTCTTTAATCTTGGACTGTAACTTAATTCTTTGAGTTTTTTAGGTTGTTTTTTTTTCCTTTGTTTTTTTTTTCGGTCTTTTTGAGACAGAATCTCCCTGTAGGTCCAGCTGGCCTGCTATTTGACCAGGCTGGCCTTGAACTCACAGAGATCCCCCTGGCTGGGATTAAAGGTGTGTGCCACCAAGCCCAGCTTTGTTTTGTTTGTTTTGGGACACAGTCTCAAACAAAAATGAAAAAGAACAATGAAAAAAGAAAATGAAGGCTGGAGAGATGGCTCAGTGGTTAAGAGCACTGGCTGCTCTTCCAGAGGACCCGGGTTTGAATCCCAGCACCCACATGGTGGTTGACTCCAGATCCAGGGGCTCCAACACCCTCTTCTGGCCTCTGCAGGCTTTGCATGACACAGGTGCACTTACATGCACACAGGCAAACCATATACACATAAAAAACCCCCAATTTTTTAAAAAAGAAAATTAAAAGACAGCCCAGAATGGGAGAAAATATTTGCACATCATATAACTGATAAGATTCTTGTGTCCACCACATATAAATATAATAATTAACAATGAAAAATTTATAATGGATGATTTATTAAATATATAAAAATTTAAATGAATAAATTATAAAGAAAATGAATTTGATAAAAAGAACTTAATTAATCATAGCTTTATTTATCTTTTTTTTTTTTGTCTTTTTTGAGATAGGGTCTCCTTGTAGTCCCAGCTGTCCTGAAACTCACTATGTAGACCAGGCTGGCCTCGAACTTCACAAAGATCCACCTGCCTCTGCCTCCCAAGTGCTGAGATTAAAGGCGTGCGCCGCCACACCCGGCTTATTTATTTTTTTATACAGGGTCTCTTTAGCCCAGCTGGCCTGGAATTCACTATATAGATCAGGCTAGCCTGGATCTCATAGAGATCCATCTGCCTCTGCTTCCCAAGCACTGGGATTAAAAGTGTGTGCAACCACACTTGGCTTATTTATTTTTAAATTTTATGTAAGTAAGTGTTTTACCTACATGTATGTAAGTGCACCATGTGTGGACAACTTGTGGAAGCCTGTTCTTCCCTCCACCATGTGACCCAGGGATGGAACTCAGGTCATGAAGCTTGGCAACAGCTCCTTTTTCATTAGAGAAAAGCATCAGATCCTCTGAGACTAGAGTTACAGATGTTGTTAGCTGTCATATGGGTGCTGGGAACCAAACCCAGGTCATCTTCTGCAAAAGCAGTCAGTACTCTTAACTACTGAGCCATCTCTTCAGCCCTAAAATTAGCATAGATTTGAATAGACATGTCTCCAAAAAAAGCTAAACAAAGCTAGGCATGGTGGCACATGCCTTTGGTCCCAGCACTTGGAGGGCAGAGACAGGCAGATATCTGTGAGATCAAGGCCAGCCTGGTCTATAGGCAGACTCTGTCTTAAAAAGATCAGAAAAAAAAAAAACAAACAAAAAAACTAAACAAGTGGCCAAGAAACAGGAAACACATTAGTTATTAGGGAAATGCAAATAAAGCTACAAGTTTATACCACTAGGATGAAAAAGGCAGCACCAAGAGTTAGTGAGGATGTGGAGATTTTAACTCTCATCTAACTCTCATTCACAGTTGGTAGGAATGGAAAATTGTTGAGACACTTTAAATTTTTAAAATTACATTGTGTGTGTGTGTATGACACACACAGCACCTTGCTGTGCGTGTAGGGGTCAGAGGACAATTTGTGGAAGCCTGTTCTTTCCTTCTACCATGTGACCCAAGGATGGAACTCAGGTCATGAAGCTTGGCAACAAGCTCCCTTACCTGATGAGCCATCTAGTAGTCCTCTTGAGCCACTTCAGAAGTTTGGCAGTTCCTCAAAGTTACCTTATGTCATAGTTACCTTGTGACTGGGCAATTCCAGTCCTACCTAACAGAATTAAAAGCATATATCCACACAAAGTTATTATATGTTCAAAGCAATATTATTCATGACAGCCAAAACATAGAAAGCACCCAAATGTCCAACAATTGATGAATGAGTGAAAAATGGCATATTCATATGATATTTAGCCATAAAGGACTGATGTATTAATTCACACTACAATTTGGTGAACCTTGGCATGCTAAGCAAAAGCAGGCAGATATAAAAGGCCATTTCTATGACTCTTTATATATGAACTGTCTAGAATAGGTGGATGTATAGAGGAAGTAGCTTAGTGGTTCTCGAGGGCTGTTATAGGAATTGACTGCAAATGGGTTTAAATTTGGGGAGAAGGTAATGAAGTTTTCTAGAATTAGGTAATGTTGATTGACATTTGTACAACTTGGTGAATTTCTTTAAAAATCACTGGATTGAGGCTGGACAGATGGCTCAGTGGTTAAGAGCACCGACTGCTCTTGCAGAGGACCTGGGTTCGATTCCCAGCACCCACATGGTGGCCACAAACCGTCCTTAATTCCAGTTCTCTGACAAAATGACTATGATGTGTCACAACTTTGTCACAAGTTGGTATTGTGGCCCAGGCCAGTAAGGGTTGGAACAACACATAACAGTTAATCCTGTCGCCCCTCATGTGTTTCAGGCTGCCACCTAAAAGATTTTGGAGATCTGAGTTTTACTCCAGTTCCCAAAGATGCTCCCTTCAACAATCTGGTAGTATATCCACGCTCAGTGGGCCTTGCCAACCAGGAATTGGCTGAGGTGGTTAGCAGAGCTGTGTCAAGTGGCTACAGCTGCGTCACCGTGGGAGGTGACCACAGGTAAGCTGGGAGCCAGGGGTGGTGAGGGGCTGGATTACATAGTGCTCTGGGCTTACCAGTTAAGCTTTATTTCAACATCCTCATCTAGAGAAATATACCCAACAGAAGAGGACATGCATCTTCAACACAGCAAGTGTGGGGGTAAACTAAACAAGGTTCTTGGGAAACGGTCTTAAGGCTTGTATTTGGCTGTCTGGGAGGACTGGGAGGATCTGCTCACATGCTGAACTGAAGTGTTTTATTAGAATTTTTGCCAATACATTGTTAAAGATCACTCTTTGGCATGTGAATACATTTCCTATCTCTATAATGTGGACACAAATCAGTCCTTTGATCTTAGTGGATCAGTAAGTAATGTTATTGAGGAAATTAGGGAATATTAAAGTGGTGACCTGTTAGGACTAGATAAAATAAATACATATAAATTTTTTAAAAAGGTAGGGTCTGGGCTGGTGTAGTCAGATTCACAGGGGAGAGTGGTGTGAGCTTAGTGAAAGTGTCTAGCAGAAAGAGGCATTGAAGAACCAGGATTATTGAACATTTGCCGATCTTTTCAGCTGGTTAATCCTAACAATGTAATGAGGTAGATATGGTTTTATCTAATTTATTGCTGGAAACTCTGAGGGACAGAGGTTAGGTAACTTGTTCAAGGTCTAAAGCCAGGAATCAGCAGAGCTGGGATCCAAATCTGATTCATTTCTTTTTTTGATCTCCCTGTGGTAGAGAACTTTCGAGACTTTTGTTGCAGCTGAAGAAACAAGACTCCTCATAAGGAATAAAAATTTAAGTAGGGCCAGGTGGGAGGCAGAGGCAGGTGGACCTCTGTGAGATCAAGGCCAGCCTGTCTCAAAAAAATTAGGTAGGATAAGGGTCAGCCCTAGGTTCTCTACAGATGATGAGGACATTCAATTAAATCAACCAGAGGGAAGGTCTCCTGCCTCCCAGCTCAGTCCCTTGACTGAATGCTTTTTATTACCTAGTCTCTCTTCTAGTCAAGTCTCAGTGGGGACCTCATCAATTTCATAGCCACAGCCCTTGGTTTTCTTTTATCTGTAGCTATACATTCTACAATCAGGTTACTACTGCTTACTGGTTTCCTGTTCAGTGCTAACTAAGCTGTTAAAGTCTAGAGGAGGGAAAGTGTAATTTGAACAGCTAATTTATTCAATGTTGTACACATACTCAGCTGGGGTTGCCTTTTTAATGTCTAACAACCCGACTTTTGGTCTTAAGAAATATCACAAGCTAGGCGTGGTGGCACACGCCTGTAGTCCCAGCACTTGGGAGGCAGAGGCAGGCGGATCTGAGTTCAAGGCCAGCCTGGTCTACATAGTGAGTTCCAGGACAGCTCGGGCTACAGGGAGACCCTGTCTCAAA